AGGTCGAAGACGGCGAGCGAGTCGAAAAGGGTGACGGCGGCTCGTGCACATCTGCAGAAAGTGAACCGAAGCTCTGAACAAAACCGTGTCGTGAGGTTCTTGGCTTAGCCTCTCAGCAGTACAGCAGTGTCTTTGTTAGGCAGTGACTGCTGAAACGACCACTGCCCCCCTGCACTAAAATACCAAAAGCGTAGGAAAAAGGCCACATCAAATCCAACAGGATCCCTATGACTCCAAGGGTTACACACACACAGGAATCAAAAGCGTGTGACACGTTTGGTAAATGCCACAGTCAAGACAATCAAGATGTCGGCTAAAGTGTCCGGTACAATATCCGCAAAACAGGAAGGTTTGCATGTGGGATTTGCGGCACTATCCACATCAAGCAAAAACTTTTGAGTGATCCGACCCGATAATCTGAGGGTATATTGGTCAAGAGTTTGCGGAATGCTTGGGCAGTCGGTTCATCAGTGTGCGCATCTGGGAGTTTCACACAAGATATACTATGCAACTAGTACGTATCACAAAAACATATATATATATATTTACACACTGTAGATATATATATATATAAGATGTTTCGTTTGATTTTTTCCACAATACCCGGGTTCCTGAGGTATGTCTTTGTTTGACGGAAAGCGTGGCAAAAACGGCGAAAAACATTTGTCTGTTTACCGGCGGCCACGAGGCCCCCCAGGTAAACAAGCAAACACCGAAGATCTCGGTTCAACATTTCCACTAGAATGGGTCCAGTCAGGCTCCTCCATAAAATGGTTCTATACACAATGGAGCAGTCACGCAATATGTTCCCTAAAGTGGAGGGTCACCCATTTTGCAAGTTCTTGTGGACCTGGGAATCCGATTGCAAAGCGAGGTTGCTGTGCAGTCGATGTCAGATTTATGAACCTGGACTCCTACCATTCTGTAAGGTTTGATGCGTTTTCAACCTGCTTTCAAGGATGTGTGCCTGAGCAGAATTCTATGTGTTAGAAACCACAACTTGCCCAGACCTGAAAATAGTTCACTTAAGTGGAAGATCATTCCTACACAAAGTTGGGCTATAGAGTGGATGCTGTTCTACTCTTCTCAAACATACCTCTATGAAAGGGGTGTCCCTTGCCTTGAATACAAATCCTGCTTTATAGAATGGTTGTCCTGCCCAAAGGAATCTCTTTTCAGCAGGCAACTCCGCAAGCTTTCTTTCATTAAACCTTGTGTCAAACAAAAAGACTAAGAGAACCACATAGAAAAAACATGAAACACATTTCCCATGATACAGAACAATTAGATAGTTGTGTTTTCTTGCTAACTTTGCCACTATGTAGCCCCTCTCACATGGCTGCCCCCACAATACTGTAGCCAAAGCACTGGTGCCAATTCAATTTGCCTGATGCCTTTCTGCACGAACGTGCGTTGCGGATTACCCTGCGCCATCGTCCTTCTCACACGACCGCTACAGCAGCAGCGGCCCCTCGACCTGCTCGCCCACCACAAACCCGTCCACCACAGACACAGCCACCTATCGCTTGCCGCGCCCTCGTAGTAGGGTTGCCACCGAACTCCCTCGACCTACTACACTTGTTGTCCCGACTTGACCACCTCGATGGAACCTCCGTTGGACCGATCGTCCTCCTTTGCTTGAGGCTCTTGAACGTGAATCCAATGCTGTTTGCCTATGCCTCGAGTTCCTGGAAGTTTGCCTCAGCCCAGGTCATCAACAATACCTGTGGACCGCTCCCTTCTGGCTCAGCATTGTCAGCGCCGGCGCCGAGAACATCTTTGCCGCCTTGGCCAGCAACGTATTGGGAGATATTGATTCAATTGTTGACACCATACCTGGATTGTTGATCGGCGACCGCCGCCGACAAGGCAGTTGGGATGAAGCAGCGCCACTTCCCCCGATCCCTACATTGCCGAAACAGCGTGCTGTGTATGCTCCCCATTGCTTTTCGCTCACGACCTCTTTCTCAATGGCCGACTCACCTGAGGAACTTCATTGAATTTCTATGCCAGGTTGATCGGATCAATCATCAGGATCACGGCTTCGTTCTGTTTCAGAAACATTTGCACAAACATCGCCAACCATCTTCAGTATCCCAGACCTCATGCTCCCACTACGCCACGACCTACTCTTTCGCGCGCAACTGTCCTGGTGCCTCTATGATTGGGATTCTGAGCGAGGGTTTTCTTCGTCCAAGTGATTGGACCAACACTGAGACTCATCCCAGCTTGGGCTTCTACTGTCGTTGCTGCTATCAGGGACATGGCCATGAGGATGGCAGCATTGATGACTCCAGTCGCTTGTCTTTCGAGTATCAACGTGCTCTCCACACCCCCTGCAAATATGGTGGCAGGCGCTCACAAACCCGGCCCTACTTTGTGACAGGAGAATGCCTATCGCGGGTTCATGCCCATTGTGTGGTTTGGCAAGGAGGAGTCTTTGCGGACAGTGTAGCGAGTCACTTCTATGATGTGGTGGGTGGCAGGTACAAGTGCAGGAGCTCGGTGAGTCAATTGGTGTATGCCGGGGCCTTTGTCGATCCCGAAGAGCTGCGCACTCTCAACATCGACCTTGATCATGCTGGTCCAGAAACTTGATTTCACCTTTCTGAGAGTTGGCTTCTTTTGCTTATTGGCAGGAGACACGATCTTTTCTGCGCCGCGACCCTACCTCTTCCCGGATAGCCCAAGAGATTTTTCGCTGATTTTGATTTTCTCTTTGCCATACTTAGACTTGATTATTTTTTACTTGCGCGCCTTTCTAATGATCTTTCCTTGTACTTAGTTATTTTCTCTCCTGTGCACCTCATTTTTCATATACCCACCCTTTCCTGTCCTTCTTCTCACCAGTGGATCAAACTGCGCCCTGCCTGTTTCGCCCTTCATCCTTCCTCGCTGTCCGCTTGCGCCATGCAAACCTCCTTTTCGTCTACGATTGAGATCTACCCGGGCCGCGCTCCACTGCTTGGGTTTGATCGTCTACCTTGTCTCACAGCGTGCCTTATTGAGGACTATGCATTAGCGCCACCATCACCTTTCTCTGGAGCGCAACGCATCTAGATCTCTAGCCCTTCTGCTTCTACACCTCTAGACCTCGGACAGGTAAACACACTGTTTGGGGTCTCTTGCCAGGTTAACTCGTTTAACCAACTTTTGAGTGGGTGCCAGCTAGAATTTTCTTTTCGGAAGACTCGGACAAGTGGGTTCAAACAAAACCCATGTGTCAAAACTAGGAAGAACATGGCAGGATTCTTCAAGAACACTTGTCCACTTTCTTGCTGAAGAGCATCAGAGCTGTTTCTGAAAAACTGTAGTAAGGTGTGTCCAACCACTTGGACACAAAACACAAGGGAAAACAATCGGAAAGGATATTCATTTGATCTTCCTGCCGTTTGATGGGATGGTGCCGGTGCCGGCATACGTGTCAGTGAAGGTAGGTCCGACCGTCCCATTCCTATTGTTTTGTTAATGCCGTGGGCCAAATCTGCCCGGCGGAAACCGCACATAGGCCTTCAAACCGGCTCTTACTCTCTGAGCCCCACGCATTGAACCGTATGCGTTCATCCTGCCTTGCACTTCCAACTCCTCCAAGCACTTCTCTCGATCATGCAACGCAAAGAGCGCATCTCAGCCACCCTTTTTGGCGTTATGTGCCAGCAGCCCCAGCTGACAGGAGCTCGCTCGGCATCAACGGCTGGGCCGGACCGCCCAGCAGGTGTGACATTTCAGTGGTTTGTGGTCAAGGGCCGGCAATCAAGTTTGGCTGGTCATTCAGGGGCGGACGGAACCACCTGAATCTGCGAGCAGCGCCGCTGTGTAGAGAAGAGAACATGTTGCACTGCTGAGTGGAGGGCTGGTGGGTTTTGGTGCCGGTGTTGTAGTGCAACTGCAGGGCTCATGATTGGTCATGGGTGAACTGTAGCAATGTCCAAACGCAAGTTTGCCAGGACCTTCCAGTTCAAGTCCACTGGCTATTGGCTATATAGAATCTTCGGTCCCTACTTTTGACCCCTGCATGTTCTAGTTTGCCGAAAAATGTTGCTCCTTATCCGCCAGTAAACCTCTTTACAGCTCATTTCAATATCACCGCGTTGAAGCAGGCATGAATGCTCTCCAGGTGGTGCGAATGGAATCGGATTCCCTGATTGGTGTTGGGTTGGATCGCTTTTTTTGTCTGGGACAGGTGCCTCATTGAAACTCCAATTTTGGGTGGCTTGGGCTGAGGCTGTTTTGCAATTTCAAGGTTGTACGACTACGATTTTATTCTGCCCCAACTTCTGAGAGACGTGTTACAGTAGTGATTGTCAGTGCTAGGGAAGTCCTGCGAGCTTAATCTCAAGGTCTCACAGCCTGCAGGGTTAGGTTTTGTGAAGTGCGGGCTGAAAGCCCAAGGTGCGCGTTGCGTTTTGTTCAAACCATTGTTGGCCACCCTTGGAAACGCAAAACAGAGACAGTCATGCTTGCCACTGACCATAATGTAAGTGTGTTGAACGCAAGCTTCAATCACGCTTGCTGTCCCGACTGGCAACTGGTTGTGTTGGTTTTGTTAGTTCTTGCTAGGTTCATGGCCCCACGTCGTGGAGGAGCCGCAGGAGCTGGGGTAGAAGCTTCTTCAACGAGCAGTTCATGCCTCAGCCATCGACAGTTTTCTCGCACATGTTCCCCACCATATCTCCTACTTGAGTTCTGACTTCATGAAATGCGGGTAACAATTCTAGCGGCCATTCATTATTTTGCTAATTCCTGACATGCTGACATGCGTTTTGCTTTTTCTGCTAAAAGCTGACGCAACGATGTTGCAACACTGCCTCAAAGTTTTGTGGACCTGATTTGCAGACGACCTACAACACTACACTGCCTTTCAACAATAGAACCACAACACTGCCTTCAGCAGTTCCAGCACGTCAGCTTCAAGTGACAAAAACCAGCGTTCGAAGCCTTAGCTCCTGCTCTCATTCAAGCTGGAAACGCTAGTCTTCCTAGCATCCCGGCCCAGATGAAAAAAGAGCTGGACGCCGTCGGGTTTTGATGTTTGTTAAATTTAGTGTCATGGGAAATGCCTGATTAAAGGTTGGTGCTATTTCTCATTGAGTTGTGCCCGGGAGCGAAGCTTAGGGGTCTTCAGCCATAGTAAAGACCTCTGGGCAGATCGGAGCAGGCCCTGGCCCCTGGAACAAATTCCGGAGCATATTCCGGATCAAGTTCCGGAGCAAGGTCCGGAGCAGAATCCGGTTCCAGATCAAGTTCCGGAGCAAGTTCGCGAGCAGGTTGCGGAGCACTGTTGAAGATTCCAGCGCAGATTGGAGCAGATTCCAGAGACGTTCCGCAGCAAGCTCCGGAGTGCTGCTGTCGCCGTTGCTGCAAAAATTCCGACTGAAGACGAACCCACGCTACCAACTAGCGCGCAACTGCCCAATAGTGCGCGAGAGGCGCTTCCCCCGTCCACGGCGACGGGCTTGCTGACCAGCAGCCGGACGTTCAACAAAATAGCGCCGGAGAGAGCTATTGCTGGAAGTTGAAAGTTACGGAGACATCTTTCAAAAAGCCCGTCGGTAGACGGTGGGCGCCGCCGCAAATGTCAGGAGTCGATCAGGCTGTGTATCGACACCGAAAGCCTAGATGTGGATACCGAGGCACAGATAATCCAGAATTATGAAGTTGGTTGTGGCACTGAAGGCGCGCGTGTTGTGGACCAATGCTCCGCAGAGCTGCCACATCAGTCTTCGTCGGGACCGCAAGCGTGCTTCTGCGGACGTTGCGCTTCAATATTCCCCCTTTTTGTATACTATGTCTATGTCATCACAAGCTTTTTAGCTGCCATACGATGCCTGACATACCAACCGGAACTTGGTTGTACACTGGCCGGAAACCTTGAACTGCTTGTGCTAGCAGGACGATGCGCGGTCTGTGACCCAAAAACTGAAACGTGACGTTCCCCCCTACATTTCTCACACGTTGTGGGAAAACAGCGGTGAAGTTCCTACTTGCATAGTGCTTCAATGCCGTGCCAACCAAGCGTATCAGACGGAAGTACCCCAGCGGTCCTTTGCCGCTCAGTAAACAACCAAAAAAATCAGACTGGTTGTTGTCACGGGTAGACTACCGTATTTGAAAACATTGTTTTTGACCCAGTGACACAAGCTTTTGCTTGAATCAATGCAACATGTCGTTTCTTGTATTGAACATAGACAACCAATGCAAAGCATTTTTGTGTCAAAACTCCTTGAAACATATACATATATAATTGAAATGCTGGCTCAGTTAAAACGGTGTAATCCTGACCATCCAAAACATAATATGCGCAAACTCCAAAGTGTGCATTTTGTTTGGTATAGCCAAAAGGTTTCTTCATCAAATGACACCACCACCAAAAGTGTTTCTGCCATTTGCTTGAGTGGTTTTGTTTCTTTGCGTTGAATCTAGGAACTAGCAATGCTGGTTTGTTTGTGGTTGCATGGAACTTAACACAACGGACAATGTGACAATGGTACAATGGCAACTTTCAACATAATTCTGTATGCTGCGCTCACTACTTTGATGGTCTACTTGCCAGCTTCGTGATGACATGCATCATTTCCATCAAGAAACCGCCTTCCCTGAGGCCTGAGGCATTTCAATTTTTCAGTTCAACTCACCAATCGCGGTTTGAGCACCAACATTCGGTGCAAAAACACATTTTTGCACAATGGAAAGGAGTTCCCGCTTAGTCGCAATACCTTTTTGCCAGCCTTTCTCTCCTTTCTTAACATGTTCGGTTTTCACGTTTAGGGGGATTTTTGTTGAAGATTGTTTGAGGTTTGCGCGGTGGATTGGCACCACCCCCCCTTGAAGAGAATACAGCCTTGGTTGGAGGACATGGGTATCGGACGAAATCAAACTGATTTTCGACCAGCTTTTTTTCTGCACCTGCTGGCTGGTGCATTGCGGGAAGGATGGTTCTGGCCAATGTGACATTGTGGCTGGCGGTGTTGATGCCACTGGGGTATTCAAAGGCATATACGTGCCTTGGATTTGCTCTGGAGAGGCGAATTTGTTCCTGGAATCATTACATATGTGCATGTGTAGGTCAGTGGTGTCCATTTAACTGCACTGTTCGTGCCTCAGACCTTGAGCGGTTTGACAACATTCTGAACTTTGACCGACCAACTTGGATTCTCTCAGGCTGCGCACATTCCAGCTTTCCAAGACCTTCCTTCCAGTAGAGATGCCAACGCCAGTGCAAACTTTAGGACAGAACATGACCCATGAACCAAGTGTTTGCTGGAGCCAATCGCAGGACAATCTCTTCAGGACGGCATCCCTTTGGTGATTATCACCAGAGGTTGCTTTGGAAGGGAAATGGATATCGGGCCTTCAGCTAAGTTTTGTCAGGCTACATTGTGCTGTTTCCTTCCAGTGTTTGGGTTTAAGTCAAGCTGCACCATGGCGGAGCCCAATCCTGAAAGAATAGCGGATACTAATACAACCCAAGCAATGAGACAACTGTTTGCTGTTTGCACCTGTCTTCTCCAAGCTAATCATCACAACGGTCAAAGGAATGCAAGTCGTAATTCTCACGATGGAAGTGTGTTTTTGTTCTTGCTCGTGCACACATGTCTCACTCAAGAGCTTAAGGTCTGGCCCGGCCCGCAACAACATCCAGAAGGCAGGTTTGATTATCCAGCTTAGCATTTGCAGCTTGGCTGTCCCCACACATTGCAAGGCCGTGTGGGAAGCTGCCAGGAACATGAGAGCAGATATGCACTTGCCTCGGAGGAAGGGGCGTGCACAGCATCTTGGTGCTTTCGCTGAAAACTGTTGAGCAAAGGCCTCAAGTGCTCGTGTCTTGCATTGACATCCCTGTTGATGCTTCCCCAGAGGCCTGTTTTTCAATTTGGTGGTTTTGTATGGTTTTGCGCATTCAAAGCCATTTGCCAGGTTGTAAATGCTTGCCTCCAGCCGCCTTCGAATAATTTCCGCGAGCTCATGTATCATGTTTCTGAGCTAGATGGATGTGAGGACAACGAAGACCTAGAAAGACAAATGTTGCAGTTCGCAAGTTTTGAAGTTTTTGGGTTGCTTAAGGATGGCACCTGGTACACACCAGCAGTGTACAATGCGCCGCTTGGAGACGTTTGCAGAAGCCATTCCTGCGACTGGAAGAATTGCACAATCATTTTGCTGTGCAGTTGGGAATACAGACTTGTTTACATCTAAGGTCAAAGCTCGCACAATGGGTCTCAAACAATCCGAGAGAGATCAAGCCAAAAGAAGGATGATGAGATTAGATTTATATTTTGATGTTTCAACTGTGGCTCACGACATTATTGCAGAGGACCGAGCTTCTCTCGCAAGAAATTCGAATGGAACAACAAAGCGTGCCCCTGAAATATGTGACAATTCGCTCTTCAAAGTCGGCACTGTAGGTTGGCCAGACTCAGTTTTTACGGTTCTTGTTGCTGGGATTATATTCTTTGATTCATTTGTCCGTTGAACTGCTTGTGAGCATGTGAGTCAAGCATTTATGAATGTAATTTTTACAAATTTCCTGCTGGGTGGCCTTCCCATGTTCTTCACGGTTTCAGTGCGCACGGTTTTGGGTTTTGGACCGAAGGCAAAACACTGTTAGCTTCCTTTAGAGGTGCTTGTGCAGGTAACCTGGAAATGCCTAACACTCTCACTTTGTGGGCACAACTATATCAAGGGGAGTGTGTGCCGGAGAAAGAGCGCCCAAACAGTCTTTGGTCTTTGTGTGATCGTTGCTTCTCGAATTATATACCGCACCACGTATATAGACGTAGCATCCTTTTTGTGCTGCTCCCTAAACACAAGACAATCCTGATGTGACAACGAGCATTGTTCAGGTACGACAACATGTTCATGCTTGGATGGAAGTGCGGCCTTCAGCAGGGAGAGCGGACTAGACGTTTGCGACATGTGCCTTTGGTGAGGTCAGTCTTGGAAGTAAGACCACCTACTCTCACCAGGAATGCTTGGAACAGCTCAATTTCCTGCAAGTTTGAAGCAAGCAGAAACAGATCCTTGTGCCAGGAGTGGTTGAGCAGAGTGAAGCTGGTTCAGGGTATTGAGCATTGGCTTCAAGGTTGCCGAAAGAAAGCAATCATTGCAGAGCCAGGAGATGTAAGACATGGATACAATTGCCCGGGCCTGTCTTCAGGCTATACTATACGAGAATAGCAAATTGTTTCTTTGACAAGTCAGGCGCTAGGCTGAGCAAACTCTCACCAACTCCTCTTCCGGCAGCTCACAGAGCAAACTTATGCAGGGCTACAAAACTGGGCCTGAAGGGAATGATTGAAGTCTGGAGCTTGCCCTTTTACAGAATCTGTAACTGTAACGTTTCTGCTCTCAGTTCGGTCCTCAGACTGAACCGAGCCTCTGGTGTATGAGAGCACTGAGCAATTCAATTCGGCCTTTTGGGCTCAAACAGCAAGGAATTCTCAAGTGAGGCAACAAGGCAGGGAATGCTTAAGATTTCACATACATGCATGCATGCATACATACAGACCCGACCCGACCGGACCGGACCGGGCCGGACCGGACTAGACCAGACCAGACAGACAGGGTACATACATGGCTCAAGCCGCGAGTGATCAAGGTGGTCCCCTGAAACCCACTTGGTGCGGTTCCCGCGGCGCCGCGCTACAAACATTTGGCCCGTGGACCTCGTGGGTGACACCCCATCCCTGCTTTCCACCAGGGCATTGGACTTTCTCATAATAGTGAGGGACTTCTTCACGGGCAACCCTTTTTCGGGGACTTTGACCTCGGCACCTCAACCTGGAGGACTTTCTCTTCGTGACTGTGGCAATGTGACTGAAGAGACCTCCGGCCTGTTCGAGTTGGGTGCCACAGCCCTTGCCATCAAGCGCCACTGATCCAGGGACCCCAGGATTTGCATTTGACCCTCGAGTATGACTACGATGGCCTCCGCAAAATGGGGACGCACCTACGCAGTCTGTCGCCACGGCTCTTGCACCAATTCAATATGGGACGACAAACTACAGCCCGGTACTCGCTGCCGGAAATGTGGCCAATGGTGGCAAAGGCTACTGGGAAAGGCAGTGGACGTCAACGCCATCTACCAGTCAATCCAGGTAACGTATGGTCAAAGAAAAGCTTTCAAGAAGCACTGCTTGCACCTCCGCCCTGGCTGACCCGTTTCACTCCCTTGATGCGCTCTAAGGCACAGCAAGAAGCCTCTGATCTGCTTACATTCACCAGCCATCCCGGAAAACGTGCAAGGCAAGCTGCAGGCTGGGCTACGGCCCCAGCAGGCCTGAAGAACCGCAGCTCAAAGACTTGTTGAAGACCCATATGGCGGCCCTCCCGTACAGCAAGTACAAGATGTCCTCACCAAGTTGACCACTCCTCAACCAGTGACTGAACAGCGCAGCTTGAGTCACAGGTCTCTGACCTAAAGAACCCAGTCCGCAAAACACAATTGGAGGGCAAACTGGACCATGTCAAGGCTCAATACGCCTCCTTGCAAGACCTCCAGTCCAAGCTGACAGACGGCCAACAAGCCATGAAGGCGCTCTCTAAGGATTACATGAAAGCAGTCAATCAAGAGTTCTTCCAGCAGAGCTTACTACCACACCTGCCGAGGAAGCCGAACAGATTCCTTTGAAACTTTTTGTAACCAGTTTGGGCATCTCCCTGTCGGAGGAGGGCGCAGAGCATTCCATCAAGCGCAGGGAAAGGACCCGTGCCACTCCAGCAACCTGTGGGCCTTGTGGGTAACAGTTGCGTGATGACTTTGAAAGGGGACTTATCACGCCCTTGCCGGACGATGACGACTTTTCATGTGATGGCTCGTCACGACATTGGGAAGTCACGCGCAGTTGGTTGCAGGGGGCACGCAACTCCAGCATGACGATACAAATGAACTAGTGACAATGCTGACTGATGCAGACCACAATTTTGGTGAGGGCACTCATGGCGGGGGGGCTTTTGAAGATTTGTGGAAGACCAGAAGCATCAAGCTGCGTACCCTGAAGCTGTCCCATCTGAGGACCCGCTTGCGCGCCTTCATCGCGGGGGCGCTCAACCGCCCGCACTTTGGGGGGCGAGAGTCAAGGATTAGCTCCCCAATACCAGCAGGCACCACGAGGAGCCCTTGACGTCATTTATGACATCCACAGCAAGCAGTACCAAGACCCAGCGGACCAAATGATCCTGCAGCGCCTGAAGGCCCTGCATGCCCTGATCCAAGCCTGGCTAGCAGACCGCTTGCCACTACCATGTTAAGGGACCACTGGCCCCGGCCAATTGCGTATCTCAAACAGAACTGTATGGTCAGCAGAAATACCACGACTCCTGATGCGCTGGGAAGGGAACCACATCTCAAGCAAGTCAAGGAGACGCGGGAGTGGCGGCGTGGGAAAGGGCTTTCGGCTTTGACCCCCTACAGCCGTCGCCAAGAAGACTGGTAACAAACTCTGCACCAAGCGCCAGACACGCTAAACCACACAGGCCTCACAGTTGAGGTCATTGAGGCAAGGCCTCAGGAACAAGGCCTACCGAACACGCAACCCTACACGGGCCCAGCTCATTCTTGACCTCTTATGGCTCCAGGAAACGCCGCCGCCGCCAAAAGACAGGCGCGGCTTCCAGGAGACCAAAGGCTACTTGACATGTATCAAGTGTGCCGTGTCCCTTTTGACGCGGGCCAAAAAAATACCTACCTTGCCTTCGTCCGAGGCACCTGCATCGACTGAGAGTTCTCAGAAGGACATCAGGCCACCCGCCTCACAGGCTCTGGCAAACCGCATTGATGAAGACCATGCCACCAGCATGCTGCCGCCCGTTTAGAGGCCATCTACTCTGACCCGCTCCATTACATCCATGAGAAAACGCCCAGGCATCAAGGAAGACGCACCAAGCAGCGCAAGAAGCATTTCATCCTAACCTGTACCAAGGCCTGACAAGAAGGCAAGCAGCGATGGAGACCTCACCGAAGTGGCTGTCAATGTTCTGCCTGCCAGACCAGAGTGCATCAAGGCCTCACGGTCACCGCCATTGAAGGCAAATTTTCAGGAACCAGCTTCGTTCAAAGACGTGATCGCTGGGTGAGTGCAAAGATTTTGGAGATTTCACACGGGAAGTTGGGCCCACACTATTTTGGCTTCCAGCTGTGAGAAGAACCGCAATTGCATGCCAATTCTTTTGAGCGGCTTTCCTTGAGCTGAAGAGTTGTGGAACCGGTGAGCAGCAGAGAAAACAAAGAGATGCCTCGAGCTGAATGTGATAATATATTATATATATATATATATCGTCGACAGAATTATAGAACCGAATTGAGGAGTATCTGGTGCAGTTAGTGCACTTGGGGCGGACAAATTTCCTCTGTTCTTTATTTATTTTTGGAAGACTTTCTTTTGAACAAAGAGCTTTTAATATAACTAATCCTCTTATTTAAGGGCTTACACCCGACAGCCGGCCAGGGGCTCAAGCAAAGGGGAGGGGGCAGGGAAAAAGGGCACGGGGGCGTTGTTGTTGTTGTTGTTGTTGTTGCAGTTGCTCTTCTTCTTGTTGTTGTTGTTGGTGGTGTTGTTGTTGTTGTTGTCGTTGTTGTGGTTGTGGTGGTGGTGGTTGTGGGTTGTTGTTGTGGTGGTTGTTGTGGTGGTGGTGGTTGTGGGTTGTCATTGTGGTGGTTGCAGACGAAGCACCCCGGTGCGCCACGCATTTCCAGCATTATTTGGGCCTATGTTGGGACATGGTGACCCATCTTGAACCACAAAGCCGGAAAAATGGAAGAAGCAGAAATCACTGTAAAACACAGTATTCCGCAGGGGTCGGCGGCGGAGGGGTGACTCCACTCTCTCCTTCGGAGAGGAGAGATGCCTACGGCAAAGACACGGCCATGGCGGGGCCCCGTGTGCCCCTGGCCGGATTTAAAGGCTTACGCCTAACAGCCGGGCGCCGGCCCACTTGGGTCTGTGGGGCGTATGTCACGCCCATGTTGGCCTTGGTGGGGCCTATATTGAGCAAAGTTAAGCTATCTGGTGCGCATCTTGGCCCTAGGTTGGGCCAAGTGGGGCCCATGTGGTGTATGTTGGGCACATCTTGGGCCCAGGTTGAGCCTATGTTGGGCCTATGTTGGCCTATGTTAGGCCTATGTTGGCCTAGGTTGGGCCTATGTTGGGCCTATGTTGGGCCTATGTTGGCGTATGTTGGCCCCACGTTGGCCTATGTTGGCCCTATGTTGAGCCATCTTGGAGGCTATGTTGGGCATATGTTGGGGATATGTTGGCTATCTTGGGCCTATGTGGGGCGATTTATGTTGAAAAAATCTTCCGAGACAACTTTTTACGATTTTTTCCTTCCCGCAAAGCAAAAACCATGAAAAACCTAGGTTTTTTTGACATCGCCAAGATGAAATTCTCGGCTGCCGAGGGGCCCGAAACCCTGTAAAACATAGTGTTTTTAATACCTCACACACACGATACACTGTAAATTACAGGGGCATCAGTTGACAGGAAGTGACCTGGGGGTCCCCCCGTTTTGGGACCGAGGGTCGGCGGCAGCCAGGGCCAGCGTCTATAACCTTCGGTTACCACCGAAGGCCCTCCGGGCAGGGCACGGGCTTCGTGGCCGGCGCCCGGATTGTAAGGGCTCCGCCCTGGTGCCGCCGACCGAGCCTGAAGACGGCGAGGACGTTGCCGTAGTGTCCGCTGCATACCTAGATCTTCAGTCCGGCACTTTTACAGGGTCCGGCGCCGGACTTCCAACCCCGGCGTTTTTCTGGATTTGGTCCGGCGCTTTTTCCAAGTCACTTTATGTGGATTCTCAAGGCTTTGCATTCTTTGTGGTCTACATTTCTTTGAAGGTAAACCCACTACTGAGGCAATGATTTTGTTTGCAAAGTGTGCTCGTTTGCCTGTTCCGCTGTTTTCTCATTCAATCGGTTTCAGCATGGTTCACACCGGATCAATCAGATCCGTTTAGGTGATCTTCTAAATGAAATCGGATGAAGCCGGTACAGTGCGATGCACCTGTTGAAAGACCCAAGTGGGCGTACCTAAGCTGAAAGAGCAT